TAGGCTACCCAAAGAGGGACCAGACACCAGACTGGAGCTTCAGTTTCTTGTGCAGCCTCACCTTACAAGTTTGCGTTTTTCTGTCGTGAGCCCTGACATTATTCAAACCCATGGCCTTACTCACGGGCAGCCTGTAAAGAAAGAATAGAATGTGGTGCAAGACTTCCCTTCATCCACTGTAGTAGGCAGTTGTGGTATGGTATTGATGTTGCGCATGTGTAGATATGTGCATATTATGCATACAGTATTGTTCGCTGTCAGAATCTGAAGCAAATGGCAACATCAGGCAAGCCCACAGGCTAGCAGCGATACAGCCCCGACAGATTCATGGAAAGCTTCAAAGCCCTGAGTTAAGACATGAGTGCTTCTATGAGGTGTAAGATTTCTTCCTTCCACTCTGTTGCCGCCATCCGTCCCCGCATGAACCCCATGATGTGAGACCACCTTAATCCACCGTATCATTGCTGGCACAGCAAGGCGAAGGATTGCCAGTTCCGCCCCACGGCGTCCCAGGCCCGGTGTCATGGTGTCTATGGGGATGAGGTTTGGGACAGATTTTGGGGATTGGTGCGTATAGGAACGCCAATTGTGTGCTCAATGGACCCGGGGCAACCTTGGCACAGCTCTGAAAGGCCATGTCCTACTTCGTGGGCTGCAATGCTGTGGACGAAGGGATTCCTGAGGACGCAGGCTTCATGGGGCTTGGAAACCCCGAAGCCGAAATCTTCTCCCCTGGCCAACCCCGCCCGACAAAGATTTCTTAGTATACATCATGTTTCTACGAGACTATCCTTATTATATAGACAAGGAACCAAGTTGCCAAAGACCTGAAGGCTTTGCCATCAATGGTGGCAAAGGCTGGGCCAACGTGGTATTTGAGAACCACTTCATCAATGTCATGGGCGAGGTTGCCATTGCCATGGGCAACTATTACTTCACTAGCTGCGCTGATGGAAGCAAGACCAAGGTTGAGTACACCTTCGGCTACACGAAGAATTCGGACGGCAAGGAGGGGGCGTTCGAAATTACGAGTATGTTTGTTGGGTGTGTTAGGGGACCTTGGGGTTGCATGGGGATGCTACGGTAGGCCTTCCCTTTCTAAGATTATGTGTTGATGATCTGAGAGACTGCCACAGAGGTGCGCATCTTTCTTCACCATTCCTCCGTGCCTTACACTCCAGCCCCTGCTGCAACTTCTGCAATTTCGGAGGCAGAAGTGCAAGGCCAGCAAGGGATTATGAGGCATCATGGGACAGTTGCTGGTGGGAGATGGTCGTGGCGGTGGTGGCGGCGGCGGCGGCTGACTCGTTGGTAGTGACAAGACAAAAGAAGACGTAGCAGCAGCAACAGGAGGAGGAAGAGAGGGAGAGGTAATCGTAGTTGAGTCATAGTAGTCGCAGTAGTACGAGTTGTAGTTGTAGTAGTTGGGTAGTAGTAGTCGTCGTCGTCGTAGTAGTACTAGTAGTAGTAGTAGTAGTAGGAGGGCCTTATCGCGTACTTGAAAATCACTGGCAGGCGCAGCACTCTCAGCATTATCTGCCACGAACTTGCCAGGGCGGCCAAACGCATTTTTCGCCGCGAACCTTTGTCTCACAGGAAGTAGTTTTGAGCTGTCGCTAATCCAACACAAAAAGAACAGTGTCTATAGGAGAGGTCCCGTAGGCCCCTTACCCGCAAAATCCAAGACAAGAAGAAACATGTATATCGGGTAGGTCCCTTAGGACCCTTAGGCAAAAAATCCAACACAAAAAGAACATGACTAATGATTGACTACTGGTGCGTACCGTGG